AAATTGTGGATCCCATGACCATGGGAAACTGCCAATGGCCGTAAATGTGGGCTGTTTGCTCAGCACCCCAAAAGGCGGAGATATGACCTCATATGGCGCTGTTGGAACCTGGAAAACACCATCCTAAGTACCTTTTTTGAGGTCCCTTGTAACTTTGAATGGTTGCTAAGCGACTGGTCGTAAGTCAAGGACTACCTGTAATGTACGGCTTCCTCATGTGCTGTTTGGGGAAGTCAAAGGAGTCAATGATGGGTTTCAAATTTTTGCAGTTCTGTGGGTGTGGCTTGGTGGGCGTGACATGGCTTGGTGGGTGTGGCTCGGTTTGCAAGCGAAGAATACTGTAAAATCTCCATTCCCACCCCACTCCAGGGGAAGAATACCGTAAAATCTCCATTCCCACCCCACTCCAGGGGAAGAATACCGTAAAATCTCCATTCCCATCCCACTCCAAGGGAAGAATACTGTAAAATCTCCATTCCCACCCCACTCCAGGGGAAGAATACTGTAAAATCTCCATTCCCACTCCACTCCAAGGGAAGAATACTGTAAAATCTCCATCCCACTCCACTCCAAGGGAAGAATACTGTAAAATCTCCATTCCCACCCCACTCCAAGGGAAGAATACTGTAAAATCTCCATTCCCACCCCGCTCCAGGGGAAGAATACTGTAAAATCTCCATTCCCACCCCACTCCAGGGGAAGGTTACTGCAAAATCTCCATTCTCACCCCACTCCAGGGGAAGGGTACTGTAAAATCTCCATTCCCACCCCACTCCAGGGGAAGGGTACTGCAAAATCTCCATTCCCACCCCACTCCAGGGGAAGGATACTGCAAAATCCCCATTTCCTCCCGATCAGCTGGGACTCGGAAAGCCGAGAATAGATGGGGGCAGGGCCAGTCATAATTTTTACTACCGGTTCTCCAAACTACTAAAAATTTCCGCTACCGGTTGTCCAGAACTGGTCAGAACCTGCTGAAACCCACCTCTGGTAGGGATGATAGCCATCTGTGAACATTTGAGGGGCTGCCACAAAGAAGTGGGGGTCAAGCTATTCTCCAAAACACCCGAAGGCAGGACAATAAGCAATGGATGGAAACTAACCAAGGAGAGAAGCAATTTAGAACTAAGGAGAAATTTCCTGACAGGGAGAACAATTAACCAGTGGAACTACTTGCCTCCAGAAATTGCTGGTGCTCTAACACTGGAGTTTCTCAAGATGAGATTGGGCAGCCATTTATATGGAATGGAACAGGGCAGGGGTGGGCAACCCTTTACAGCGGTGGGTTTCCAATATTCTTATCACTGGTTCGCCCCGCACATGCATGCTCACTTCACATGCGTGCGCACCCGGTTTCCAAAACATGCCTAAAATAGGATGTCATAGAGCCGGGGAAGCTGGGCGGGCCCACCTGCGATCTCCGCTACCAGTTCGCCCGAACCGGCTGAATACCATCTCTGCCCCTTTATGATCTGTGGGATTTCCAGTCCCAGAATTCCTGAACCAGCTGAAGTCCACAGGCCATGGCTGAGGAATTCTGGGAGTTGAAGTCCACAAGTCATAAAGAGCTCCTCGTCGCCAACACCTGGTATAGGATCTCCCGCTTGAACTGAGGGTGGACTAGAAGATCTCTAAGATCCTTTCCAATCCTATTGTTCTCTCTGCATTTCGGAAGAGGCTCAGGAAGAGAGAGAGGCTCACGGCCAGCCCTGACAAATCTTTAGGGATTAAATGTGGGTGGAAAAGTCCCTGCAAAGCAGCCGAGTTTCACTCAGTGGGAGGGAAAACTTTTCCCAACTACTGGGAAAAACCCATCACTGAGTTGGTGAGTCAGGAGTTACTCAGCTGGCTGGCTAAACCTCCTCCTGGCATCCCAGATTATAACCGGGTTTTAGGAAAGGAATTTCCACCCGTTAAACTACAATCCCTGGACTCAACTCGGCTCCTACAACAGGGATCTCCAACCTTGGCAGACTTTTTAAGACTTGTGGACTTTCAATTTAGCAAACCGTGTTACTAATTTAAGGACCGCAGGGATTCACTTAACAACTACGGCAAGAAAGGTCATAAAATGGGGGCAAAACTTACTTAATAACCTTTTAGCTTCTTAGTTTTATTTTTTAACCTTCTTTGTTTCAGTTTCAATAAAAATCCCATTAAAAAAGAGAAACGTTCTGATACTGCTTAGCCAATCAATCGGAATAGAGCTGGAAGGGACCTTGGAGGTCTTCTAGTCCAGCCCCCTGCTCAAGCAGGAGAACCCGTACCAGGAGGACCCGGTTTGTGGGGGCAATAAGCTGACTTTGTATAAAATATATAAAAGTATGAAGGTTATTGCTTAACGCCCTGAGTCTCTGGAGAAGGGCGGCATATAAAAATAAATAAATAAATAAATAAATTCAGACAAGTGATGGTCCAGTCTCTTCTTTTAAAATCCCCCCAGTGATGAAGCACTTAAAACTTCTGGTGGCAAGCTGTTCCACTGATTAATTGTCCTCTTAGCAAAGGAAACATTGGGTTCAATTATGGTCATAAGTCCAGGACTACTACCGCTAGTAGAAGACAGAAGAACCCTAAACTTTGAGACAAGACCAGGAGATTCCATCCAGCAAGCCAGTTTGGGGCTTGTGCCCATCCCCATCCCTGCCCAGGATCGGAGGGCACTTCGGGTGCCCTGCGCAGCGGTGCAAACGTCCCTCTGCAGAAGCGCTGCGCAACTCCCCCTCCATCCTTTGCAAGGGCGCTGGCGGACTGCACGTCCGAAACGTGCCGGGTATTAATAGCAGCGGATGGAGGAGGAGGTGGGGGGGTGGGGAATGCGGAAGAGGGTCAGAGGTATCACATGCACACATCACACACACACACACACACACACACACACACACACAAAGCGGGTTGCTCTTCCCTCCTCCTTTGGCTGCGTTGCGCGCGATTCCGACGGCATCCACCGAAAGTTGGGGCGTGGATCTCTCTCTCCCCTTTGAAATGGGGGCGCAGGAGGAAAAGCTGCGTTCGGGCATCGCCCCCAAAGCCTCTTTCGGCGTGGGAGAAAGAAAGCGCGTCCCGGACACGCGTATCGGGCCCTTTGCGGTTTTTTTTTTGCACACGCGTTCCTTCTGAGTCGTGTGTATCCCCGCGTGTTTCCAGCAGATAAACCCCCCTCCCACCCTCCCCAGATCCCCCCCCCCATTCTTGGTTTCCTAAGACAGGATCAGGCCTGGATGGGTGGGTGAGTGGGTGGGCTTCTCGTCCCCGGGGAGCTGATCCACACCCACCCGCGAGCAAAGGCGGTGGTGGAAGGACTGCGCGCCGGCTGCTCGGGTTTCCCACCCGGGGAAGGCTCGATTCGGCGGACTAGGCTGATCTGGGGGTCGTGGATGATGGGCTTCGGGGTTGTTGGGCAAGCAGGGCGGGGGCAGATCCAGAGGGCGGCCGTGGCAAGCGATCCTACAGATCCTTATAGTTGGAGAGGGAGAGAGAGAGAGAGAGAGAGAGAGAAGACACAAAAACACACCGATCCTACAGCTCCTAACAGCTGGCGAGAGAGAGAGAAAAAGAAAGAGAGAGAGAGACACACACACAAAAACACAGCGATCCTACAGCTCCTAACAGCTGGCGAGAGAGAGAGAGAGAGAGAGAGAGAGAAAGAAAGACACACACACACACACAGGGATCCTACAGATCCTAACAGCTGGCGAGAGAGAGAGAGAGAGAGAGAGAGAAAGAAAGAGAGAGAGAGACACACACACACAAAAACACAGGGATCCTACAGATCCTAACACCTGGAGAGAGAGAGAGAGAGAGAGAGAAAGAAAGAGACACACACACACACACACACACACACACACACACACACACGGATCCTACAGATCCTAACAGCTGGCGAGAGAGAGAGAGAGAGAGAGAGAGAGAGAGAGAGAGAGAGAGAAAGAAAGAAAGAGAGAGAGAGAGACACACACACACAAACACAGGGATCCTACAGATCCTAACAGCTGGCGAGAGAGAGAGAGAGAGAGAGAGAGAGAGAGAGAGAGAGAGACACAAACACAGGGATCCTACAGATCCTAACAGCTGGAGAGAGAGAGAGAGAGACAGGGATCCTACAGATCCTAATCCTACAGCTCCTAACAGCTGGCGAGAGAGAGAGAGAGAGAGAGAGAGAGAAAGAAAGACACACACACACACACAGGGATCCTACAGATCCTAACAGCTGGCGAGAGAGAGAGAGAGAGAGAGAGAGAAAGAAAGAGAGAGAGAGACACACACACACAAAAACACAGGGATCCTACAGATCCTAACACCTGGAGAGAGAGAGAGAGAGAGAGAGAAAGAAAGAGACACACACACACACACACACACACACACACACACACACACACACGGATCCTACAGATCCTAACAGCTGGCGAGAGAGAGAGAGAGAGAGAGAGAGAGAGAGAGAGAAAGAGAGAGAGAGACACACACACACAAACACAGGGATCCTACAGATCCTAACAGCTGGAGAGAGAGAGAGAGAGAGAGAAAGAAAGAGAGACACACACACACACAAACGCGATCCTACAGATCCTAACAGATGGCGAGAGAGAGAGAGAGAGAGAGAGAGAAAGACACACACAAACACGCAGCCTTGCGCGCGATCCACACCTGCGCCTGGAATCTGGTTGGGGGCTACGCCGGGTACGGAACCAAGCACTCGCCAGCATCGAAGGAAGCCTCGCAGGCGCCAGTTTGGGTTGAACGTAGCAGCCAGCTGTGCCAAGCGATGCCAACCTCCCGGCTCTGCGCGGCTAACACGGGGGGCGCCCCACGCCGCCCCCCCCCACCCCTGGAGCTGGCTGGAAAGAGGCGCGGGGGGGGGGGGGGGGGGGGGGGGCGATGGGGCCGCGGGGCGCTGGGAGAGCGGAGGGGGCGGCGGGAGGCGCTTCGCCGCGGCTTGCGGGAGCGGAGAGCTGCGGGCGGAGTCCGGCATCGGGCGCCCCCCCCCCCCCGAGCGGCTGGACGGCGGGAGGAGCAGCAGCAGCAGCAGCGCCCCAGTCCCGGAGCCCCAACGCTGGAGGAAGCAAGGAGCCGCGCGCCCCGATCCAGCCGGGGAAATTGGGGGGGGTTTGCCTGCGTGGAATTTGGGGAGGGGGGTAAAAGGCAGACGGACCAGGCACCGCCCGAGCGAGGCTCCAAACCCCGAAATTCGGGGGGCCCCCCACACTTTTTTTCCCTCCCTATTTTTGGCCCGATCCAGCGCAGCTTCAGGATCTCCCCCGGATCTTTTTTTTTTTTTTTCTTTGTTTGCGCCGCGAAGGTTCCCGACGAGGCAGGATTTGCTCCGGTAAGTTTTGGGGGTTTGGGGGTTTTTTTTTGCAGAGGAGGCTCCCGAGGCGATCCTTTGTCTCCCCGCGCCGTATCCACACACGTCGCGGTCGTCTGGCTGGCAGCGCTTGGCCCCCGGACTCGCCGTTCCGCAGGGTGGGCGACCGAGGGCCGCCTCTGGATTGGGGTGGGGGGGGGGTTCGAGGATTCCTCTGCGCCCTTTGTCTAAATTTGTCATCTCTCTCTCTCTTTCCCCCCCTCTTCTGTCTTTTCTCTCTCTCTCATTCGTTCTCCCTCCTTCTCTCCTCTCTTTTTCTTTCTCTTTCTCTCCCTCTTTCTTTCTTTCTCCCTCCCTCCCTCCCTCTCCCCTCTTTCGTTTTCTTTTCTCTTTCTTTCTTCCTCTTTTTTCTCCCTCTTTCTCCCTTTCTTTCTCTCTTTCTCCCTTTTTCTATTTGTTTCTCTGTCCCTTTCTTTCTTTCTTTCTTCCTTTCTTCCTTTCTCCCTCTCTCTCTCTAATTCTTTCTCCCTCACTCCCTCTCCCCTCTTTCGTTTTCTTTTCTCTTTCTTTCTCCCTCTTTCTCCCTTTCTTTCTCTCTTTCTCCCTCTTTCTGTTTGTTTCTCTGTCCCTTTATTTCTTTTTTCTCCCTTTCTCTCTCTCTCTCTCTCTCTAATTCCTTATCCCTCCCTCCTTCTCCCCTCTTTCTTTCATTTTCTTTTCTGTCTTTCTTTCTCCCTCTGTTTCTCCCTTTCTCTCTTTCTCCCTCTTTCTATTTGCTTCTCTGTCCCTTTATTTCTTTTTTCTCCCTTTCTCTTTTTTCCCTCTCTCTAATTCTTTCTCCCTTTCTCCCTCTCCCTTTTCTTTCATTTTCTTTTCTTTCTCCCTCTTTCTCTCTGTTTCTCTCTTTTCCCCTCTTTCTACAGTTGCAAGAAAACGTATGTGAACCCCTTGGGATTACGTGGAGTTTTGCATGAATCGGTCATAAAATGTGCTCCGAACTTCATCTAAGTCACAACAATAGAAAAACACAGTCTGCTTAAAATAATACTACACAAACATTAGATGTTGCCATGGTTTAATGGAACATAACATGTAAACATTCACAGTGCAGGGAGGAAAAAGTATGTGAACCTTTGGACTTAATAACTGGGTGACCCTCCTTTGGCAGCAATAACCTCAACCAAACGTTTCCTGTAGTTGCAGATCAGACCTGCACAACGATCTGGAGTAATTTTGGACCACTCCTCTTCACAAAACTCTTTCAGCTTAGCAATATTCGTGGGATGTCTGGTGTGAATCGCATTTCAATCGGGTTGAGGTCAGGACTCCGACTGGGCCACTCCAGAAGGCGTATTCTGTGCTGTTGAAGCCATTTTTTTGTTGAATTACTTGTATGCTTTGGGTCATTGTCCTGTTGCATCGCCCATCCTCTGCGGAGCTTCAGTTGGCGGACAGATGGTCGTACGTTTTCCTGCAAAATATCTTGATAAAACTGTGGAAGTCATTTTCCCATCAATGACAACAATCCGTCCAGGCCCTGAAGCAGCAAAGCAGCCCCAAACCATGATGCTCCCTCCGCCATGTTTTACAGTGGGGATGAGGTTTTGATGTTGCTGTGCTGTGCCTTTTTTTCTCCACACATAGTGTTGTTGTGTGTTCTTCCCAAACAACTCAGTTTTGCTTTCATCTGTCCACAGTATATTTTGCCATAGTGCTGTGGAACATCCAGGTGCTCTTTTGCAAACTTCAAACGTGCTGCAATATTTTTTTGGGACAGCAATGGCCTCCTCCGTGGGGTCCTCCCATGTCCTCCATTCTTGTTTAGTGTTTTCCTTATTGTAGATGCGTCAACAAAAATGTTAGCACGTGCCAGAGATTTCTGTAGGTCTTTAGCTGACGCTGTAGGATTCTTCTTTACCTCGTGAAGCATTCTGCGCTGTGCTCTTGCAGTCATTTTTACAGGACGGCCACGCCTAGGGAGAGTAGCAACGGTGCTAAACTTTCTCCATTTGTAGACCGTCTGTCTTACCGTGGACACATGAACATCAAGGCTGTTGGAGATAGTTTTGTAACCCTTTCCAGCTTTATGCAAGTCAACAATTCTTGATCGTAGGTCTTCTGAGAGCTCTTTTCTACGAGGCATGGTTCACATCGGACAGTGCTTCTCGAAACCAGTAAACCCAAAACAGGTGTGTGTTTTTAAAGGGCAGGACAGCTGTCGGCAACACATCCAATATCATCACACTGATTGGAGTCAAGGTTGGCTCACTCCTGGCTCCAATTAGCTCTTGGAGAAGTCATTAGGCCAGGGGCTCTCATACTTTTTCCTCCCTGCACTGTGAATGTTTACATGTTATGTTCCATTAAACCATGGCAACATCTAATGTTTGTGTAGTATTATTTTAAGCAGACTGTGTTTTTCTATTGTTGTGACTTGGATGAAGTTCAGAGCGCATTTTATGACCGATTCATGCAAAACTCCACGTAATCCCAAGGGGTTCACGTACTTTTTCTTGCAACTGTATTTGTTTCTCTGTCCCTTTATTTCTTTTTTCTCCCTTTCTCTCTCTCTTCTCTCTCCCTCCCTCTCTTCCCCTTTCTCTTTTTTCTCCCTCCCTCTTTTTCTCTTTATTTCTCATTCTCTCTCCCTTTCTCTCTCTCTCTCTCTCTCTCTCTCCCTCTCCCACCCACCCCATTTCAATCTTGCAGCCTTCTGTCTTCCTTCATTCCCCTTTTCCTCACCTGCTGCATTGGACTTCGATGAATAAAATTCTCATTTTCCCCAATTTTTTCCTCTTTTTTTATTGCTTTGGCTTCTTAAAAAAAAAACGGTGGCGGTTGGCGATGTCACAGAAAAAGTGAGTGCGTGTGCATGAGTGAGTGAGTGAGTGTTAAAATGTCAGCCGAATTGGCGAGGGGGGGGAGGCAGCCCTGAATGTGGCAACCCCAGCTTTTAAACCCCAGGGAAACAGCCCGTTTCCATTCTTTCTTTACAAAAAAAACTTGCATTGCAACCTTTTTTCTCAGTTCCTGAAAAAAGAGGCGCCTCTTCAAAATGTAACCTTCGCCCAGCAGATCCCCAGATCATAGGAAATCTAGCCAAAAATGTTGCTCAACCTGGGAAATTTTACAAAGGAGGACCAGTCAGGGTGAGCCTTGTTAGCTGGGGGAAAAAAACCAACAACAATCCTTTTTTTTTTTTGCACCCAAAATGGAGAAACCGAAGGCGCCCTTTAAAACGCTGCTTTAACCTTGTAGTGATGTCACCTCCGTGGAACTGAGCTTCCTTTAAGCCTTGATTAATAATAGAAATCCATCTTGGTTTCAGTGGCTTGCAGAGAGGAAATGGCACCCGGTGGCAGTCATTTTACGAAAATGCACACAGCCAGCGTTTTTTCTATCTGGCGTGGAAAAAAAGTGTGTCAAAGAGTTTTCTACACCTGTTGAACTTCCAGCTGGCCCGGGAGGCATTTGGGCCCATACGTTAACCTTTGGGGAGGGGGTGTCTCGCACAACTGGCTTTTTTTTTTTTTTTTTGAGCGTCCCACAAGCTTGCAATTCTCTGTCAGGGGATCTCCAACCTTGGCAACTTTTAAGACTTGTAGGCTTCAACTCCCAGAGTCCCTGCTCTATGTATAGATTTGGCCCTTGCTAAAATGCGAAATACTTTCTCCGTCAGCCCTTCTGCTGGGGATGAATACTGCTGAGTTTTGCACCGTCTGGCCTGACCCACATTTCCTTTTATCTTCAGCCCTGCGTTCTGCAGAATTTGTGGGTTCCATGCCCCCCACCCCCCAGAAAGGCTAGGCTAGTCCCCCAAACCAAGAAACAGAAGGTAGCATCTTGGAGACTTTATATCGTTTTTATTACAAAACCTATTTGCTGTTTTCTTTACGGTGTAGCTCACCAATGCTGAAACATTTAAACATAACATTGTGTAGAAATGTGGATTGGACTCCGGAGTTCCTTTTTTGGACAACTTCTGGAGAATTATTTTGGGGTGATTGGGGTTGGGTGACTTTTGGGAAATAAACTCCGGTGTGTCTGATGATGGACTGACGGAGGCTAAAGCTCTTGAGCAATGATTTTGTAGCCTGTTCAGACTTGTGAGCCTCGACACCATGTTTTCTCAGATCACATTCACAACTGGGCTGAAGAAACCCACACCAGATTGTCCTTTTAACAGAATAACAGAATTGGAAAGGACCTTAAGAGGTCTTGTAGTCCAACCCCACCCATCCACCCCCGCCGGCTCAAGCAGAAAAACCCTTTCGGACAAACGGTTGTCCAATCTTTTCTTAAAAACCTTTGTGATAAACTTAACGACAGGAAAATGTGGCTCAGTTTTACTCCCTTTAAATCAAGAGTCAGATAGCAACCTTTTCCGCATAACTTTAGTAAAAGTTTAGTAAAAGACATGCCATTTTTCTTGAGTTGCAAATCGTCGTTCATCATGCCTTTGATGGAGTAAACATTTCTTGATTATTATTATTTTTTTTTTTGCCAAATAGACTAAGACGGCTCTCTTCTTTATTTTTATTTATCTTTAATCTTCGTTTCCTGTTTATTTCCCCCCACCACAAATGCCCCCTCCCCCCAAAATGCTAGCTGGCTGATGTCTGTTTAAGAGGAAATGTCTACCTATTTGTAGCAGTCAAATTAAGCTGTCGATCATATTGTGGGGGTCACAGCTCTGAAGAGACGGGGGGGGGGGGGCGTTTGTGAAAATTCACCAACTTTTAATCTGTCCGCTTTGGCCTGTGTGTGCAAAAGCAGAGCAGGTGGTCCGTTTTTGGGGTTCCCATTGATGGGACAACCCGGAAAACAGGACCTTCATTTCTAGAATCAAAACAAGGATATTGTGCGAACGCCGCCATTTGGTGGCTGGAAGGTTGAAAGGCACGTAAATGAGATTCTGGGATGGTTGCAATTTTCCTAAGCAGGGTAAGAATAATTGGTTGGCTGTAAAATCCCTTCTTGGGCAACCCCCCCCCCCCATTCTTTCAGAACACAAAGAATTACATTAAAAAAAAAATCAATATTTTGCATTTCGAAGGAGAAGGGAGAGGAGGACGGGGGCTGAAACTTCCTTTAAGGAAAACCAGTCACTCCAAATTAAGAATTGCACAAAAACTTGGACGCAGTCGGGGCTTTGTAAAAAAAAAATACACCTGGACTGAATGGGGTTTTAATGGGATTTTTAGTTTTTATTTTCATTGGACTTGTTGTTGTTTATTGCTGTGAGTCCTTGTGGAGAAAGGGCGGCATATAAGTCCGATAATAAATAAAATAAATAAATAAGATAAGAGAAACTTCCAGAAGGCATTAAAAAAAAGGGAATTAATAAAAGCCACTAGGTCTTTTAGATGGCTTAGAAAGGATCCGGTGATCGTTTTAACCGGAGAGATGGAAAGAGACATCTTTGAAAGCCTTTTTCAATTCAAGCCGGTTTTCCTGGACCGTCTTGGTTCTCTTGATTTGAGAAAAAGTGAATTTTGGGTGGAAATCTTTAAAAAAAAAACAAAAAAAACCCCTTTTTCCCACGGACAATTGGGAAGGGATGGAGAAGCCTTAGGGGAGGATATTTTAAGAGTTTTTTCGTGGATTTTCAAACTATTTGGGGGGTCTTTCTGGGGGAGGGGGAGAAAAAAAAGATGAGTTCCAGAGTTGTGTCCCTCTTTTGTGTTAAGGCATGTTGCAAGGCATGGTGGCCGACGACGTGAGACGCGCAGAGCCGAGCGAGGGCATCGTCCCCTCCATGCTGCACGACGGAGACAAAAGAAGCCAAGATGGTGTAATGGAAAAATACACTCGGGAGGCCTCCAGGGAAGAATCAGCAAGGCTGTGAGGAGGAGCCTTGCGCCCTCCGAGGTTTAGAAAAGGATGGGGAGAATCCGGTTTAAGAAATGGGGGCCGCCTCTGTATTGTTTGCAGCGGGAACTGGAAGGAGAAGGCAGGGGGGATTTGAGGAGGGGGGGGTCCAGCTTCTTGGAGGCGGCCCAAAGGCATCCGGGAAGGGAAGGGAAAGAAATCCTGGTGATGGAAGAAATTACCTTCCAGAGGTTGGTTGGTTTATATCCATTTATTTATTTTTATATCCCGCCTTTATTACAGCTAGTCCTCGACTTACAACGGTTTGCTTAGTGACCGTTCGGAGTTACAACGCCGCTGAGAAAAGTGACTTGGGACCGTTTTTCACACTTTTAACAACCGTTGCAGCATCCCCGGGGGAAATTCGAACACTCGGGCAACCGATTCGTATTTGTGACGGTCGCAAGGGTCCCGGGATCCCGCGATCGGCTTTGATCGACAATCAAAGTCCATGGGGGGAAGCCAGGTTTCGCTTAACCCACCAGGTTACTAATTTAGCAACTGGATGGATGCACTTAACAACTGTGGCCAGGAAGGTCGTACAACGGGGCATAAAATTCACTTGACAAAACGTTTCGCAGATAATCTCGGTCTCCATTGGGGTCGTAAAGCGAGGACTGCCTGTATTTTTACAAAGAACGCAAGGTGGTGAAAATACTCGGCATAACTTCCTCTTCCTGTTTCCCGACAACAACAACCCTGCCAGGTGGGCTGGGCTGACAGACTGGCTCAAAGTCATCCAGTTGGCTTTCCATGCCTAAGGCGGGACTAGAACTCACTGTCTCCTGTTTGATTGGGCCAAAATCATCCAATCGGCTTTTATGCCTAAGGAGGGACTAGAACTCACAGTCTCCTGGTGATTGGGCCAAAATCATCCATCGGCTTTTATGCCTAAGGAGGGACTAGAACTCACTGTTCCTGGTGATTGGGCCAAAATCATCAATCGGCTTTTATGCCTAAGGAGGGACTAGAACTCACTGTCTCCTGGTGATTGGGCCAAAGTCATCCAATCGGCTTTTACGCCTAAGGAGGGACTAGAGCTCACTGTCTCCTGGTGATTGGGCCAAATCATCCAATCGGCTTTTACGCCTAAGGAGGGACTAGAACTCACTGTCTCCTGGTGATTGGGCCAAAATCATCCAATCGGCTTTTACGCCTAAGGAGGGACTAGAACTCACTGTCTCCTGGTGATTGGGCCAAAATCATCCAATCGGCTTTTACGCCTAAGGAGGGACTAGAACTCACTGTCTCCTGGTGATTGGGCCAAAATATCCAATTGGCTTTTACCTAAGGAGGGACAGACTCACTGTCTCCTGGTTGATTGGGCCAAAATCATCCAATCGGCTTTTACGCCTAAGGAGGGACTAGAACTCACTGTCTCCTGGTGATTGGGCCAAAATCATCCAATCGGCTTTTAGCCTAAGGAGGGACTAGAACTCACTGTCTCCTGGTGATTGGGCCAAAATCATCCAATCGGCTTTTATGCCTAAGGAGGGACTAGAACTCACTGTCTCCTGGTGATTGGCCCAAAGCCACTCAGATGGCTTTCATGCCAAAGGCAGCACTAGAACTCGCCGTCTCCTAGTGCTTGCTCTAAAAGCCACCCACCGAACTTTCATGCGTAAAGAAGCAGGACTCGAATTCATGGCCTCCTCCCAGTTTCTAGCCAGACGCCTTAACCGCTGGCCAAACTGGCAGGCAGTAATTTTGGGACCCAGGCACAGAGAAACCCCAATGTGGGGCACAGTCAGACAATAGGAATTCAAAAGCAAAACCCAGCTTCTTATCAGCTGGAGATACAAGGCAGCTGGCCCAGCCTTGTTGCGAGTTCAAGACCTGCCTTATCTAGAGTTTACTCAACGAAGTCGGGCGTAAGCGATGCAATAAATATATTTTTTTTTTAAACAAATGGATC